ATACATATATATTTCACATATATATTTCATATTTCATATATATACATATTTAAAATTTTAAATCTATTTTGCCACCTTGAAGTCACTAGGACTAGGATGCTGAGGAAGCTGGCATCCATGCTGAGGTATATCACCAGCCATTTGTTTTTAGTGTTTCAGTCTTTGTCATTCTCTCTCTGTCCCTAAGGTGACAACCCACTCAAGCCTACCCTGGTAGAATGACTTTAAAATGTACCCTAAATCCCAAATTGCCTTCCTCATCTCTTCATATTAAAAATCCCATTCCTTCAGCTAGGTGAGCATGTGGGTGGTGGAAACCTTATTAAAATACTTCACATTAAGATGTGACTGTCCTGATTCTGCTTAGGGTTCTTTCCTTTGTATTTCTCTGACTTCAAATGTGGTGTCCCCGAAAGCTCCTTGTCAATGTGCAAGAACTGGCCCACCTCCAGATACCCTCTTTCAAAAAAATTCCACTCCACAAACATTTACTGTAGCCCCATTATATGCAAAGCCCTGCCCATGTTAGATGCTGTGAGGGATTCAAAAAATAAAAATATGCAGACCCTACCCTCAAGGGGCTTCCTGTTCAGTAGGAAGGCTAAGACAGCAATACAGGGTATATTATGAAAGTGAAATTGGAGGGGTAAGAAGTGGTGTGTTAGTTCAGCAAAATAGGAATTAGATGAGCTGAGCTTGAGAGGGAGACAGAAAAGGGGAAAAGCATTCTAGACAGATCAGTGAGCACCAGAACACTAATAATATCCTTCAGGAATAGGAGGTATGAGTCTTAGGAGGTATTTGGGAAGAAGGACAGAGGGAAGTAGGGAAAAGATGGGTGGTGGGGAGGGAGATAAAAATAATTTTGGAAGTTTTGAATGTCTAAATATGTGTGTATGTATGTGTGTATATATACATATGTATATGCCTAAGAAGGGTCTAAGGTGTTATGTGAGATCCAGGGGGATAAGGTGCTTTACCAATGGAAGGATGGGAGCAATCAATCAATCAATAAGCATTTATTAAGCATAATACCATGTGCTGGACACTATGTTAGATGCAAAAATGAAAGAGTCCCTGTTAAGTGAAGGAACTTAATCTGGGGAGGGGCAGAAGAGAACATGTAAACGGGAATAATTACATACAAAATCAATACATTGTAAAGGTGTGGGGGAGGAATGGCATATGGGGAGATGAGGATTTTATATGAGAAGTGCCTCTCGAGCAGAGTTTAGAAGGAAACTAGTGATTCTCCAAGATATCAAGTTAAGGTAGGAGTGCATTCCAGGCCTAGTGGACAAAAAGGCAGGGAAGGGCCTTTGCCATCCCCATTCATTTGAGCAAAGGCTCTTAGAGATAACAAGAACCTCAGAGGTCATCATTTTACTGAGGAAGAAACTGAGTCGAAGAGAAGGCTAACTCCTTTAGGTGTGTAATGTTGCATATGTTGTCAGTCGATATGTTGGTTGTTTTTGCTGAATTATTTTCTGTTTTAGAAATCTTTGTCACAAAGGAAGTGTATGAGTGGGGGGAAGAGCTGTATTCAAAAATAAATGTGATGTGAAAACAAAAGGCATCCATAAAATAACAACAAAAAAATTGAACTAGAATATTAACTACCTTCCCTACCCCCATCTTCTCTCCTCCCCCAGATTGTATTGATGATAATGATAGCTAACATTTATATAGCGTTTGCTAAGCACTTTACAATTATCTCCTTTGACCCTCTCAACAATCCTGGGAGGTGAATACTATTATTAACCCTATTAGAAAAAGAACTGGGGCTTTTAGCAGGATGCAGTCATAATGAGTCAAAAGTGTGATATGAGTGATAAAAGAGCTCACTACATCTTATACTGCATGAAGAGTGAGATAGTGTCTAAATTAGAATGTCCCACAGAATTGCTTCAAAACTCGGCTCAAATCCTTCCTCCATGAGGCTTTTTCTGGTTCCTCCTGCTGCCAGTGCCTCTTGCACAAAATCACTTTGTGTTTATTTTCTACAGACATAGATGTACACATGTTTTTTCCCTGATAGGATATAAGTTGCTCCAGGTCACAGTCTCTTTCGTGTTTGACTTTGTACTCCATGGATAGTAGATAGAGATGCAACTCACCTCTGGTTTGACCCAGTGTGGCCCTAGGCTATCAACCTAACTCATCAGTGTTCTAGGCAACTGGATTATGCCTCTAAATTGCAGGTAAAGTGTAACCAGCATTGGTAGAGGGAATTTTCTCAAGTGGAAGTTCCTGATAGTCAAAGGAATTACAGGTCCAGGCCCCTATCCCTATAGCTATCCATAGTAAACATTTTAAAAATGTTTGTTGATTGAATGAAGAATATGGTAGTCCCCCTTCCCCCAGTCACCCCACATGTGGAATACTGTGTTCTGTTCTGGGCATCACATTTTATTTGTTTTGTGTGTGTGTGTGTTTTTAGTGAGGCAATCAGGGTTAAGTGACTTCCCCAAGGTCACACAGCTAAGCTAGTACGTGCCAAGTGTTTGGTCTGAGGCCGGATTTGAACTCATATACTTCTGACTTCAGGGCCAGGGCTCTATCCACTGCGCCATCTAGCTGCCCTGTGGGCACCACAGAGGAGGGGTGAGGAGGAAAGTGGAGACCATGTCAACAGGAAAGCCCTTGATGGAACTTAGGGATGTTCCAACCCTACTCAAATGCCCAAGAAGAAGATGGACAGTCAGAAGAAGAATACGAGTTCTTTGAGGGTAAGGTCAGTTCTTTCTTTAATCTTTGCTCCTCAGCCATGAACACTAGACCTTGCTGCAGGCTCATAACAAATTCTGACTGAATGGGATTGTAGACATGATGTCAAGTATTTAAAGGGTCATCTAATCGAAGAAGGATTAATTAGATTCATTCTCTTTGGGCCCTGAAGGTAGAACCAAGAGATCTGGGAACAAGTCGAAGAAGAGCAGGCTTATTAGGATCTCTGCAATAGGGGAAAAACTTCCTAGCCCTTAGCCAAAAGCTGAGCAAGCTTTTTTTTCTTCTTCAGGAAATGAAGGAAACATTTACATGGCTTCAAGGTGTGTGAAGAGTTTGCTTGACAATTGACAGGTACTGTCTCATTTGTTTCATAAATTTCCCAGAAGTTAGGAG